GACTTAAAGTTTTGAGCCCCTGATGTAGGTGCTTGGAACTGAACTCTGTAAGCATTCCTTTTGATCCCTCTGTCCAGTCCACAGTAGCACATTTTAACTCCGCAGTCACTGGGTGTCATAGGTTTAATGGGAAAAAAAGGTTGCTTAAGCTGAGCTTAGTGGCATTTTCCTATAATCCCAGTACTCAAATGGGAGGAGGGTGAGACAGGTGGATAGGATCTGGTGAGACTGCCTCAAAGCATCAAGAAGTTGGTTTTTGTTTGTTTGTTTGTTTTGTGTGTGTGTGTGTGTGTGTGTGTGTGTGTAAACAATGATACATTATGGTTTTGAGTGTAGGTAACACGACAGTAGGACTAGCATTGACCAAAATGGGGTATTTAAACTTTTATTTATCTATTACTAGCCTATTCTGTTGAATGGCTACAATATGTAAGGTGCTGTTCCTAATGCTAGAAATGTAATAGTGAGCTAATACAGCAAGTTACCTGCTTTCATGGCACTCAACATTCAAAAGTGGGGTGACAGACTGAGGAGGTGGCTCATTGCATGAAAACACTTTCTCCACAAGTGTGAAGACTTGAGTTTCAATCTAACATAAAATATGGGTATTGCCACACATACACACCTGTAACCCCAGAACTGGGACAGAGTGGTGAGTCCGAGACAGGATCGCTGGGCCTTACTGACTGCCAGACTAGCTTCAGGTTCAGTGAGAGACCCTGACACAAGGGAATAATGTGGAGCAAGACACCTGATGTCCTCTAGCTCCATGCTTGTGCTGTTTGTGAGCACATAGATGTATACACACACACACACACAAACAAATGGGATGAAAACGGGAAAAAAAAAGTACAAGGACCTAGTAATTTAGACAGACAAAACTAGATAATAGTAAAGAGATGACTTGAAGGGAACTGTTTTGGGTGCTGTGATCAGGGATGCCATTTCTAAAGAGAAGTTTGAATTGAGCCAGAATACTGCTGAAGTCAGCTATGCAAAGATCTGAGCCTAAAGGCACCCCTCCCTACCTAGGCTGGAGAGTATGTGCAAAGGCCCTAAAGTAGAAAAGACCTTGATTTGTTTAGGGCCAGAAGGATATCAGAGGTGGAATGAAGCAGGGAAACAGTGAAATGAAGCAAGGGCTGAGATGTTGGCTAAGTTGGGCCTTACCAGGTCTTGCTCTCTGGAGTTTGGTGACCGACTTCTAGTGGAAAGGTAAGGTAGGTAATGTATTGAACCTGAGTTGTCTGAGACACATCACAGTGAAGAACTTTTTCGAACTTATTAAGCTCATTGAAATAATTTGTCAGCTTATAATGGACCTTGAGCAAATAAATACTCATAATTAGGAGGCTCAAAGAATTTGTTAAAGATGTGGTGAAGGGATCTGAGGATTCTGGAATCCTTAAACAATTAGAGAAGATCATGATTAAATATCATTATAACCTGAAATGTTTGACCAATTGCTATGTGAATAGTAGCCAGAAAAATTATGGCCAAAACATCTCATGACTTCAGGGAATGTAAAGATATTTTTCATCTTAAAATGCCTGCATTTCCAGACACTGTGCTGTACAGTCTGTATAGTGCACATTCATACAGAACTCTGTTTCCAAAGCTGCTTTATTTTTTATATTACTGTGCTTCTATGTACACAAGGAGTTTGAATAGTTTGCATAGCCAAGTTCATACTTCAATGATTGTTTGTGGAATATTAAAAACATATGCTCAGATGTATTGAAGCATAATAATTATGCTTTACATTTGTATGTTGGCTTATAGTCTATAAAGCCTTTACCTATAGAAAAACAATTTGGTCTTAAGAAATGCCTTTTTAAAAACAATTTGGTCTTAAGAAATGCCTTTTTAACATGATTTTTTAAATTTTTTATTTTATGTGTATGAGTGTTTTGCCTGCATGCATGTGAGTGTACTTGCGTTGTGCAGTGCCCACAGAGGCCAAAAAAGGGATCCTCTGGAACTGGAGTTTGGGACAGTTGTTAGCCACCATGTGGGTGTTGGGAATCCAACCCAGGTCCTCTGCAAGAGCAGCCAGTGCTCTTAATTGCTGAACCACCTCTCTAGCGCCCCCATTTGTTTTTTGTTGTTTCATTTTGTTCTTGATTCCACCCCCCCCAAGAGACAGGGTCTCAACATGTAGCCCTGCCTGGCCTGGAACTTGCTATGGCCTCAAATTCACAGAGATTCCCCTTCCTCTGCCTCTGCCTCAGCCTCCCAAATGTTGGGATTAAAGGCATGTGTCACCATACTAGAAGAAATGGTTTTTAAAGTAGGTAGGAGGCAGGAGTTTTAGGCAAGTCAGTGTTACAGCTTTGTGATAGAAAGCAGAATCCAGAGTCATGAATGTATGACTTCAGGCTTTACTTGCATTGCTTTACTGACCTCATGCCCCATCACAGGTGAACAGAATCGTAAACTTCAGTAGAGGAACTAAAATGTATATTCTTCCTGAGGCCATAACCAAGTAATACTTTACATTCAACCCACTGTATCTTCAGGTTCCATGTCTTAGGATTTAACCAACCACAGGTGAAATATTTGGTGTAAAAAAATCATGACCCTGGCTGACTTTTTTTAAAGATTTACTTTATGTGTATGTGCCTGAGTATATGTATGTACATGTATCCGTGGAGATGAGAGTGTCAAATTCCCTAGAACCAGAGGTACAGGCAGTTTTGAGTCTCTTGACATGCATGGGTACTGGAAACTGAAGCTGGATCCTCTATAAAAGACAGCAAGTGCTTTTAACTGCAGAACCCTTTAATCCCAGCACTTGGGAGGCAGAGGCAGGTGGATCCTCTGTGAGTTCAAGGCCAGCCTGGTCTACAGAGTGAGTTCCAGGCAGCTGGAGCTACAGGGAGACCCTGTCTCAAAAATAACAACAACAACAAAAAAATAGTACACTATTAACAGCTTTTTGTGTAGGGCGTGTTGGGTAGTATAACTGTTGTAATTTGTTTTCTGTTGCTGTGATAAACATCATGACCATAAACAACTGGGAGTTTATTTCATCTTACACTTCCGGGTCACAATCCATCACTGAGGGAAGTCAGGGCAGGAATTCAAGACAGGAACCTGGAGACAGGAACTGAAGGAGAGACCATGGAGAAGTGCTGCTTACTGGCTTGCTTTTTAACTCACGTTCAGCTAGCTTTCTTTCATAGCCCATGCCCACCCACCTAGATATCATGTCACCCACAGTGAGCTGGGCCCTCCTATGTCAATCATTAATCAAGACAACCTCTGACAGACCACAGGCCATAAGCCTGCCTGACCTGGGAAATCCTTCAACTGAAGCTCCCTCTTTTCAGGTGACTCTAGGCTATGTCAAGTCAACAAAAATTACTAACTAGCACAGAAAGTAACCTAACAATGGTTTAAACAAATGGAGGGTGTTGTGTGTCAGTTATATGCAAAACTGACATTTTGTAGATGGACTTGAGCAATGATAGATTTTAATATGGAAACAAGGCTTGGGGTATAAGTCCTAAAACTAATTCTTTGGGGATACTGAAGTGTGTGGCTGTATTTATATTTTAGTTATGGGTGTTCCTTAAGAGTTAAGGGAGCTGTGAATTCACAGGAGCAGTTAAGATTACTTAGGCTGGGAGAATCAGAGTTTAATTTTGTTGAGAAATTCTTTATTGATAATTTTTATTGTTTCCTCCTAAGCTTTAAGTACTACACGTGTACTTTTAAAATAAACACTTTTATCTTACTCCTAGGATGCATGTGTTTGTTTCTACCAGCATATTTTATCTTTATAGTCCCACCCAGTTCAGTGGAGAGTATAGCTAACCTGTAATGAACAGCTTTACACCAAGAACTGTGGGAAGGGATCTGTAAATATTAACAGATCTAGTCTTTACATTGATTCTGAGATAGAACACTCCTTCATAAATTGATGTTTTCTTTTCAGTCTGTTCACGTATTTAATATTCTCATACATAATGGAAAGAACCAGATCTGGAAAAACTAGTGATTGATTATAAGGCATACCCACTTGTACCATAGGATAAAGCTAAATCATATAAATAGTTTGGGTCATATTTTATATTATTTTTAATATTTTTTCCTAGTAAAGAAGCCAAACTAGTACACATACTAACTTGAGAGATAAAGTATAAAACAGTGAAAGCCTTAAAAAAGACTAAGTAAAATGTATCCTGAATGTCCTCTAATCGTAGTGGTTGTATATAATAGTCATTGGTGTTTTGGCATTTAAATCACACTGGGCATGGTGGTACCTGCCTGTAATCCCAGCACTCAGAAGACTAAGGCTGAAAGATTGCGAGTTTGAAGCCTCCTGGGTTACATAGTGTTTTCCAGGCTAGTCTATGCTACATAACAATACTCTGTTACACAAGAATAAAATAAAATAAGAAAGTGTTTAGTTCTGTTTGTATACTAAAAAAAAAAAAAAAAAAAAAAAAAAAAAAAAAGAAGAAGAACCAAGGATTAGAGGTGTAGCTCATTGAAAAAAAAAATGCTCTGTAACAAAAAAAAAAAAAAAAAAAAAAAAGTGTTTTGTTTGTTTTATATAAAAAAAAAAAAAAAAAAAAAAACCAAAAAACCAAAAAAACCTTATCAGTAGGGAGATATTTAAATTGTTTAGAAATGAGAAATGTCTAAACAACTTAACCCTTTTCCTAGTTATTTTTTTTACTCCTGTATTTTCTTCACATAAACAAGCAATGTTGTTAACTGGAAATAATAAAAATGCTTTGTATTTATATTGAATTTTAATTTTGTTGTTGCTAGTATTTTGTTTGTTTGTTTTGTGAGACAGGGTCTCCCTATAGCCCCACCTGGCCTGGGACTCACTATGTAGACCAGGCTGGCCTCCATCTCACCCAGTCCTGCCTGTTTTCTGCCTTCCAAGTGCTAACATTAAAGGTGTGCCCCACCACACCCAGCTAATCCTTTCTTTAGGAATACAAAACATTATAATTCTCTTTGTTTTTTTCTGTCCTTTTTAGGTCAGCAGCAAGGACAAGATGGAGTGAAAGTCCAGCAAGCTACCATAGCTCCTGTAACGGTGGCAGTTGGAGGAATTGCTAATGCTACGATAGGTGCTGTTAGTCCTGACCAACTCACACAAGTGCATTTGCAGCAAGGCCAGCAGACTTCGGATCAAGAGGTGCAACCTGGCAAGAGACTTCGAAGAGTTGCCTGCTCTTGTCCTAATTGTAGGGAAGGAGAAGGAAGGTACATGCTCTGTTTTCCACTCTCGCTCTCTTGAAAGCATCAAATAGTCATTGGCTGCATTCTTTGAGCACTGGACCCTCACTGCCTTTCTCACTCAAAAACTGGAATATAATGTTATAAAGGGAATTGAGTTATTTAAGGAATGGGATTTGAGTGGTCCTCTGCTTTCTACTTTCTACTTTTTTTTTTTTTTAATGAATTTCTTCTTTTTTGTTTGTTTTCCTTTGGGAGGGGTTTGGTTTTATGAAACAGGGTCTTTTTGTAGCCCTATGTAAATCAGGCTGGCCTCAGTCTCAACAAAGATCTGCCTGTCTGTGCCTCCCCAAGCACTGAGATTATAGGCCTGTGCCACCACACCCAGCTTCCTTCATTTATTAAGTAAAAACTTTGAACACCTTTATTGATTTAAACTAACTCATGTACCCTACCATTTACCCATTTAAAATATATAGTTCAGTGGTTTAAATACATAGTCCAGTGGAATGTAATGTCGGTATAAGGCATACACACCACAGGATAAAGCTAAATCATATTAATAGTTTGGGTCATATTTTGTATTATTTTAAATAGTTTTTTCTAGTAAAGAAGTAAAATAGTTCAGTGGAATGTAATCATAGTTGGATGGCCATAATCAGTTTTAAGCCATTTTTTTGTCATCTTCAGAAGAAATCCTGTATCCTTCAGCCATCACTTCCCCCATACTCCTTAGCACTACGAAACTGATTTCTCTTGATAGATTTCCCTGTTCTGGACATTTTTGTATAAATGGAATCATACAATATGTGGATTTTTGTGACTTTTTTCATTTGACATTATGTTTTCCAGGCTTGGCCATATAATACAAAAACCAATACTTCCTTTTATGGACAAATACTATTTCAGTGTGTGGATATATATTATTTTGCTTATCCCATCACTTGTTAGATACCTGGTATCCTTTATTCCCTGTTGACCATTGTGAATAATACTGCTGTTTGCATTTATATGTTTTTCACTTCTCTGTGTATATGTGTAGGAATAGAATTGCTGGGTCATGTGGTCGCTATGTGTTTTACTATTTACATACTGCCACACTTTTCCAAAGTGGCCACAGAATTTTATATGCCTACCAGAAGTCCATAAGGGTTCTGGCCTTTCATAGCATTGCCAGTCCTTGTCGCTTTCTGACTGTTTTTTTAAATGTCAGCTATAAGAGTTTAAAATAGGGGGCTGGAAAGATGGCTCAGCGGTTAAGAACACTGACTGTTCTTCCAGAAGACTCGGGTTTGAATCTCAGCACCCACATGGCAGCTAACAACTGTCCATAACCCCAGTTCCAGGGGATCTGACAATCTCTTCTGTCCCCCACGGGCATTGCATGACACAGGTGCCCTTACCTACATGTAGGCAATACACGCATACACATAAAATTAAAAAAAAAAAAAAAGTTTAAATAGTATCTCAGTGTATTTTTTTATTGAAATTTACCTGATGATTAATAATGGTGTTGATCATCTTTTCATGTATTTCTGGATCATTTGTTTATCTTTGGAGAAAGGTGTATTTAAATTCTTTTCCATTTTTAATTGTATCATTTTTAAAAATATTTTATTTATTATTTTTATTTTATGTGTATGAGTGTATTGCCTGCATGTATGTGAGTGCACCCATGGCATGCATTGCTGCAGAGGTCAGAAGAGGGTGTCGGATTTCCCTGGAACTGGAGTTAAGGACAGTTCATAGCCATCATGTGGGTGCTGGGAATCAAACCCGGGTCCTCTGCAGGAGCAGTCAGTGCTCTTAACTGGTGAGCCGTCTCTCCAGCCCCTAATTATATCATTTTTAAGTTACTGAATTGAAATAGTTCTCTACATTCTGGGTATAAGATCTTAGCAGACCCATGGTTTGGAAACACTATCTCCTATTGTGTAGACTGCCTAAATACTACCTACTGTCCTTAGAAAACTAAAAGCTTCTGAAGTACATTTTTCCCCCTTTGGTTGTTTTTACTTTTGGTATCATATCTAAGAATCCATTACCAAACCTAATACATGTTGCCTTTTTTGTTTGTTTGTTTGTTTGTTTGTTTTGCTTTTGGTTTGAGGGTTTTACAGATCTACTGCTCCATTTAGATACAATCAATTTTCTGTTATTTTTTGTATATGGTACAAGGTAAGGGTTCATCCAACAGCTTTTACTGAAGTGTCTTTTCCCCCATTGAATGGTCTTATCTCCTTTGTCAAAAATGAGCTCACCATAGATAACTTTGTTACTCAAATTTGCTTTGACCATTTAGCAACGCTGGGAATTCTGAGTGAAGTTTGACATCAGCTTGTCAGTTTCTACAAAGATACTGGGTAGGATTCTAATGGGAATTGTAGTGAAATTCTAGGTCAGGTTGAGCGATCTTGCCAATTTAACGGTGTTGTCTTCAGACCCATGCAAAAGGAATGTTTTTCAATTTATTTAGATTTTTACTAACTTGTTAGTATTTTGTGATTTATCTTTTTGGGTATATATTTGATGTTTGTTAAGTTTTAGCCTGTGTTAAATCTTCTTGATGTTATTAAAAATGAAGCAGCTTTCTTGATCGTTTACTCCCAGTGTTCAGAATTATATTGGCTTTTATATATTGATCTTATATTCTGGATGCTGCTAAATTGCTCTCTTTGTAGTTTTTATTTATTTTTTTATTTTTTGTCTTTTTGAAGCAGAGTCTCCCTGTAGTCCCAGCTGCCCTGGAACTCACTATGTAGACCAGGCTGGCCTTGAACGCACAGAGATCCGCCTGCCTCTGCCTCCCAAGTGCTGGGACTACAGGCTGCGCCACCACACCCGGCTCGTAGTTTTCATATTCAGTTCTGTATCCATAGTCATAGCTTCTGTGACTAAAGATAGTTTCACTTCTTTTCTACTTTGGAGGAATTTTGTTTGCTTTTTATTCTTATATTTCATCTAATCGCCTTATCTCATAAATGTTGCAAGAAGTGGCAGAAGCATGCACCCTTTTGTTTTTGATTTTTAAGGGAGGAAGGCATCTGGTTTTTTACTTTTAAAGTGTGAAATGCTGGTCTAGAACCTGAATCTAGTTAAGCAAGCTCTGTTCTGTTCTTTCATGGTTTTTTTTCAGAGTTTTTGATTGTGTCAAATGCTTTTACTGTATTTGTTACAGTGATCATAGCTTTTAGGGTTTTAAATTTTTCATCTTTGTTAATCTAATGTTACATTAAGTAATTATCACAACTCAAAGCATTTCTGCCTGTGTATGGTAAAACCACCTTGATCATAGTGTACAATTCTTTTGAGAGGTGACTAGGATTAATCCCCCCTACTTTTGCCCTGATTTACCTCTGCCTTCAGAGCACTGGAAGACTGCAGAGAATAAGCACATGCTACTGCACGCCACTCACTTTGCTAGTCTTGAGGACTTTTTCATCTGTATTCATAAGAGATACTAGTCTGTGGTTTTCTCTTCTTATATGTAATATTAGTGATGATAATATTGACCTCATACAATGAGTTGGAAAGTGTTCCCTGCAGTTTTATTTTTGAACAAATTTTTGAAAAAAGCACTTAAAAAAATTTTTTTTTAATTTACTATATTTTATGTGTACGAGTGTATTGCCTGCATGTATGTGAGTGTACCCGTGTCCTGCAATGCCGTGGAGGTCACAAGAGGGCTTCAGATTCCCCTGGAACTGGAGTTAAGGAAGGTTTGTAGCTGCCATGTGGGTGCTGGGAATTGAACCTGGGTCCTCTGCAAGAGCAGTCAGTGCTCTTAACCGCTGAGCCAACTCTCTAGCACTCCCAGAAAAAATAGCACTTAAAAAAAAAATCGAAGTCACCAATAAAGTTATTCGATCTTTGGCCTATCTTAGTAATTCTGACCAATTAAATCTCTTTGAATGTTACAGGTTTACTTTGAGTGACCATTTGTTTTTTAGTCAGTTTTGATCTTTCTAAGAACTTGTCTGCCTCACCTAAGTATCGGTGTAGATTTGTTCATAGTGTTCCTTTATAACCCTTTTTATTTTGGTAAAATTGGTAATGCTGCCCCCTTTTCCTTTATGAGTTAATTTGAGTCTTCTCTCTCTCTCTCTTGGTTAGTTTGGTTAAAAGGTTTATCATTTGGTTGACTTCTTAGAAGTGTTTGACATTTTTCTCCTCTCAAGAGAATTCACACTTCCTGTTTCTGTCCTTGCTTCTCTCTGGCAGACTAACCAACTTGCAGATAAAACTCCAGTGAGAGCAGCATTTTGCAACAGTATTTCCTTTTTTAACATCAACCCTTAGGCTTGAACTTGAACTTGGTCTCAGAGTGTTAGTTGCTTTGCGAAGAGATCTGGAGCTCTGCTGATAGGCTTCTCATTCTTGGTGGAATTTCTGAGTCATGGCTCTAAGTGGGAGGTTGGACACAGGCAAGGGTCTCTCAGAGTGATGCCCTGATAGAGGAGCTGGGTGCTTGGTGACAGGAGCTGCAGTGGCTGCAGTAGCCTCGGGTTTTCTCACCTTGACAGCTAGAGTTTTATGTATGAACTGTGAATGAATGAGATCCAGAGCCACCTGGACCATAGCATTTGAGTCATGCCACAATCAAGGCAGACCTCTGTCCCTGGATTGGGCACTGAGTGGAAAAAGGGAGTCATTGCCTTTTAGCCACACTCAACTGGAACTTAGACTCGGCAACAGGTAGCTGGGAAGAATGAGAAATGCTGTGTCCTGCCTGTCCTTGGAAGGTAGCTTTTCAGCTTAAAGGCAGAAGGAGACCCTGTTCTTGGCTATATCGTTCTTAATGTTCCTTTGTTGTGGAGGTGGCAGGAGAGTGAGTTAAGCCTAGTTCAGATCCATAGACTCACTGTTCTTACACAGTTCTGTTAGAGTCCTTGAGTGAATATTTATTTGCAGTTACTAGGACTTTGTTTCTAGGACTATGTCCAGAGACTCTGAATGGTGGGTGAGAGGGTGGGTAGATGGGTGAGTAGGTAGGTGGGTGGTTGGCTGGTTGTTGGTTAGTTTTCTAGTTTCTGAGTTTTGCTGGGAAGGATTCCATGGAATGCCTCATCATACTGTCCTGCTGGAAGTGAATCCATTACCCAACACTTTTAACTCAGATTAGCCATCCTTTGGTATTTTAGAGGAAGATTTTCAAGTACTTCAAAATGCTTCCAAGAGATTTTTTTTTAGGCAGGTGTTGGTGGCACATACCTGATCATAACACTGGAGGCTGGGCAAGAGGACTGTGAGCTTGAGAAGAGTCTTGACACATAGTGAATCATGGCAGCCTGAGACATAAACTCTGGGGTTTGACACATTTTCATAGTTTTTGTGTAGTACACAGAGCTATTTAATTTTCTCCTTAATTAAGAATCTTCTGACTTTATTTGGTATTGTTTTCAAACACACACTACTCAGAAAAGCATTGAATCATGTTTCCACAGATAGAAGCTTAGTTGGGGGAGTATAGCTAATGTTGGTTTTGTTTCTGTCAGGGGCAGTAATGAACCAGGAAAAAAGAAGCAGCATATCTGTCACATTGAAGGCTGTGGGAAAGTGTATGGCAAAACATCTCACCTCCGGGCACATCTTCGCTGGCATACTGGAGAAAGACCTTTTATATGCAACTGGATGTTTTGTGGCAAGAGATTCACAAGGAGTGATGAGCTTCAGAGACATAGAAGGACCCATACAGGTTAGTTGCTTTCTTTTAGGCCACAGTTGGACTTCTTTTTCAGTGCTTAAGTGAAAGCTGAATGAGAAGATCACTATTGCATTGAAAATATGCAAACTGAGAGGAAAGGCTGTACTTAGTGATTATACAGATGATATTGGAGTTCAAAATTTATTACTTTGTTTCTGACATACGTTTGTTGTTCTTCTTCTAGACTTTATTAGCGTATCTGTGTGTCTTGGAGTATGCTCCTTTTGCTTATCTTGAATTCTTAAGTTAAATTCACATCATTTTCATATGCTTAAATACATAAAAAGAAAATCAAATGAAGACCATATTGGTGGCTTTCAGTAGTTTCCTTTTTTCTCTACAAATCAAGAAAGTTTATGAAAATATCGAGACTAATAGAACAAATGCTTACCTACAATGTATAGTTGTTATTATATTTTCTGTTGTTTTAATACACTAACTCACTCATGAACTCAATATCAAATATGATAGCTACTGTGAGTCCATGATTTTAGTATCTATATTTTAATATACATTTTTAATATTCATTCATATTATTTGTGACTCTACATATAAAGTCATGTTTTGTGTAGATGATGAAATGCTACATAAATGATATATTGCAGTGTCATTCCACATAGCTGTTTTCATGCTTTGCCAAGGTTATATATATGCTTGTTTGCTTGTATGTATATCTTTTAAAATATAGGCAATATTCTGTCACATTACCCTAGCACACTGCATTAATCATTTTCCAGACTGTTGGGGTTATTGCCAGGTTATTTGCTGTGGTGAAAGGAGCAAGCATGTGTAAGAAGAGTACTGGATCTCGGGAATGTGTTTGGAAGAGTAGGTAGTAGCTAGAGTGTCTAGAGTGGCCATGTGTAACTTCTGCCTGGCCAGCAGTGACTGGAAGTTCCTGTTGCATCTGTGCTTACTGCTTAGGAGTGACAAGCCTTACAAGTGTCTTTATGTTTATTAGTAGTTTTTACTTTTTCTGTTTGTTACTACGCTACTCATTTTTATTTGGTGGTGTTTTTCGTCATATAATTTATATGTTTCTCCCTATTTTTTCCCCCTTTTTTGGTCTTTTTGAGCCAGGGTCTCTCTGTAGGCCCAGCTGGCTTGGGACTCACTATGTATGGTAAACACTTCCAAGAAGTCAACAAGATGATAAACCTTCTAACCAAACTAACCAAGAAAAAAAGAGAGAAACTCAAATTAACTAACAAAGGAAAAGGGGGCAGCGTTACCAATTTTACCAAAATAAAAAGGATTATAAAGGAACGCTATGAACAAATCTACCCCAATACTTAGGTGAGGCAGACAAGTTCTTAAATCAAAACTGACTAAAAAACAAATGGTCACTCAAACCTGTAACAAACAATGAGATTTAATTGGTCAGAATTACTAAGAAAGGCCAAAGATAAATAGCTTTGTTGGTGAACTTCAAGTCTGACATCCTGAGTTCAATTCCTGAGGTAATCCAAGCTGACCTCAAACTTTCTATGTGGTTGAGAATGGCTTGAACTTTTAGTCTTCCAAATGTTGAACACTAGGATTACAGGAGTGCAACACCAGGTCCCATTTATGTGATGCTGGGCATAGAAGCACACACCTTCAATCCAGGAAGATCTTTGTGAGATCAAGATCCAGCCTGGTCTACATAGTGAGTCCCAGGCCAGCTGGGGCTACAGGGAGATCCTTGCTCAAAAGGACCAAAAATGAACCTCCCTCAAAAAATATATTTTGAAGTAAGCATTGATTAAAAGTTCAATTGAAAGACTTGATCATTTGTGGCAAGAACCATTGTATTCACTAGCCACTACTGCCAATAGAAACACACTGATTTACTGTGAGTGAATAAATGAATTATTTTTAGTCCTGCTGAAAATAGTAAGATCAATTTGTTCTGTTAAAAAATGTAAAGTTCTAAATGGCACGTACATAGAATTTTGAAAAATCAAATTCTACACCCCCTGTTTTGATCCCTGAAGAAAATTACTGGACTTTTTTTTTAATCATTACTTATTTTTTTTTTATTTTTTAATAACTACATGATTAGAAGAAGCATTTTATTATGGCTTTAACATATTCAGTTACACACTCCAGAACAGGAGTACATCTCTTTTGCAAGTGGCTGGAAGTTTCTCGGTTCACAGTTGAATTAATACAGTTATACAATATTGAACTCA